TATGGCGTCACTCTTGATCATATGAGGCTTGTGGTTGTGTTGATTCTTCACCCTAACTTCGTTTCCTGACGTGTACAGCGATGCGCTGCATTTGGTTTTGTTTTGGTTTTTGCATCTCCACCTTGTCCTGTTCGCCTCTTTTATGTGACAGTTGTACTCGTAGCTATCCAGTATCAGTCTTGGATATTTTCTGCCTTTACATATGTAGATTATACCTGCAAGAACAGTACGTGTTACTGTCGTTGCTGATACAGGTTTTCAGAGTTGAGTCGTTTATTTTAACTGCTTAGGACTCGGCAAAAAAAGTTGATATACCATAATAAAAGAAATAGTGAAAAATAAAAATTTTATTACACAGATTTTTTGATACTATTAGCGTTGTTAGGGATATTTGGTTGGTTATATTTTAAGGCGCGTATGAGTTGTCGCTTGCGTACTCCGCGCGCGTGCGCTGCTAGGACAATAAAAGGAAGAGAGATACAACCGCAACCCGCATACTGTGAGAACATATACAGGGTGGCGCATCGAAAGCGAAACGGACGCATTTACTGGCAGCTCAGTTTTTTTTTGTTTTTTTGTTTACTAGTCTTATCGTTTATCTAAATTTGACAAACTTGTTGTGTTATTGTATGGTTTTCAGTAGAGTCTTTGTATCAGTTGTATCAGTCTTTAATAGTGCGTATACTTTCAATTATCTGATTATTTTGTGTGAAAAAATGGCCGACGTTTACGAAAACAATGAACTAGAAAAACGACATCCAATTAACCTGATAATGATTTTTTTTTAAATATTTTTTAATAACGCAAACTAACTCTCTTATTATGCAACTTTTATACAGGGTGACTTCGAAGTTGAGTCATTTATTTTAACAGTGAGTAGGTCTGATCAAAAGAAATGTTTTTTTCCTTTACCATTTTTCTGGTAAAATTAAAGTAATAAAGTTTGGAAGTTTGAGTACCGCCCTGTCTCAATAATAATATTATGTGCTCGTGTTTGGCAACAACGGATATAATCCGCCTTATCGGTTCATCGCATCGGAAACAAAAAAGCGAAAGAATTTGGAACGATGTTTTTACAGTTTTATTCAGTTGTATTCAGTGTCAGTCGGTAACGCGTGAGTGAATAGTGGTGTTTGTTGCGTGGCTCAAACGAAATAAAAAATGGCACATGTTTACGAAAATGCTGAACTTGTGGACATTATTCTTATTTACGCGGCATCACGGATTTATGCGGATCGGTTTCCCAATCGAGTGCAACCAACCCCTCGTGCCTTTGTTAATGTAGTACAAAGGGCTCGTGAATCAGGTGACTTAAGACCTCACAGGAGAGGGCATGCCGGTGTTCCAGGACCGCATGATCAAATACATGTCCGCACTGCAATACTTGTCGGGAGGATACTTTATAAAACAGGGTAAATTTTTTTTTATTTTTACACACATATTTTGGTTTATCTTCCTTCTACAATCACTATCTGAAAATTAATGACTCAACTTCAAAGTCACAATGTATAGGTGATTGTTGACGAAATTTGCAAGCTGTTAAAATAAATCACTCAACTTTGAAAACACCCTGTTTAATTTACACTGACGAACCGGCTTTCATCATTACGTAAAAAACTGGTACTGTACTAACGCTTACTTCAGAAGCCGTTGACACAAGATATATGATTCCTAGTAGATTCAAATTTATTTGACTGCCACCTACAGAAGTGTTTTGACAAAAATTGGAAAATAACTCTTCATATAATCGAAATATCAATATATTGTCCTTTCTCTCACAACAGTCACAATTTTCGATTCAAGTCTGCTCAAGTCGAACATCCTTTCCGGCAGATGATTGTGTCCTCTCTTCAGCAGTACAGTGTTGCCGAACGTAAAACAGACAGCGTTGCATCTGAATTTGCTTTCGCTGGTGCACCTCCATCTTGTACGGTTGTTTTTCGTTTTGTGAACTTTGTACGAGTAATCGTGCAAGATTATCTTCGAGTATTTCAAGCCAGGTAAAATGTAGATTTTTCCTAAAACAATCCTTTGTAAGTACATACCCTGACCACTTCGTTAAAGCTTATGCTTTTGTCGGTTCCTTACCTCAAGATAAATTAGACATAAATACTCGAAAGCTCGGAAGTTCGACAGGGCCGTATTCAGAAGCGGCTTGCGATTATTGAATAATGCCAATATCTTTCGATTTTATAATAAAACTATCGATATTGCAGTTCGCCAATGAGCACCTGATATCACATGAAAGTGTTTGTTAGGTTTTACTTGATCTTGGGTTATATTTCCTTAATCACTTCGTGTTCCAAAGGCAATACAACATTAAATTAAGTATACAGAGTGTCCCATGTGGAACTACGATTACTCGAAAAGCTTGCACTAGAGAATTATTTATTTGTTTACTTATTAGAACTAATGAGTAAAAATAATTGAAGTAGGGAAGTATAGTGTCATGTGTGTGAAAATTACCTGGTTAGACCTGAGCAGTGAAACGCGTATCTCACCCCCGCTGTTCAATTGTCACAAGGGCATTTTTTCTCTTAAGGGCTGCTTAAGTGCTTAAGCTTGCCGCCGCTACCCTGCCCCGCACTCATCGATTCGTGAATGCCGTTTTTTCGAATCCGATTTATAAATAAACAGTTCGATCTACCTACAACCTACACCGTTCGTAGGTTTTATACTGATGCACGTTTCATCATTCCACCTAAGCCTTTGCTGGATACAGGATCGCGTTTGATGGCGGATTAAATTTTTTACAAGAAATACAAATGTAAAGGAAGAATGTTAAAAGCTCCCTGCAATGATTTCCGTTTCATGGTTAATTTATTTTCTGTCGTCAAAGAAGGAGATAATCTTAAGCTGCTTGAGCCCTGATCTTAATTTTTGATTAAATGGAAGATCACATTGAAATGTATAATTTTCCACTCCTCCTATTTATTAGTAATACAAAGCACAGTACAATACTACGAGGTTTGTTTCATAAATAAGATTCTTGCCGCGAAATCTGGCAACACCGTCGTGTATGTCGGGTCCCGCACCACCGATCACAACAAGAATGAGGACATTTGACAGTTCTTGAAGAACACAATCGACGTCGAATGAAATTTCTAGGATTCAGATTTATTATACGAACCCACCAAAGACACGTTGAAAGCACTTGTAAACCCTTTTGACGGTAATCTCCAGCTTTCGACACGCTATGGTATCATCTTCAGGAGCTAAAACACAAATATGAATCTAGCAACTAATTCAGAAAGGATTTAAATTTTCAGAAAACTTACTCGTTGCAATTGTAAAACCGAAAGGACGGACACATGCTGGGTTGCCACGTACCTGGGTGGTCAACTGTTTTGTCAAATTCGGTTTTCAATTGAATTAGCCTGTTTGGCGGACATGATCTAACTGATCTCTCTGACATGTTATGTTCCTTTGTCAGGAGGATTATCGTACCTAGGCTAGCGTTGAGTTATATTAACATGGCGGGCGTTTATGGCATGGTTGACTGGTGTGGTTCACCATCGTTGCCAGATATCCGATATTTTCGGTAGGACAGGAAAGAAATTTATAGCGTCATCAAATGGGTGGCTGATTTGATCCAAATATTCCCTATGGATACTGGCTTACTTGCCATATTATTCACATTGAAATGTATAATTTTCCACTCCTCCTATTTATTAGTATTACAAAGCATAGTACAATACTACGAGGTTTGTTTCATAAATAACATTCTCACCGACCACAACAAGAATGAGGACATTTGACAGTTCTTGAAGAATACAATCGACGTCGAATGAAATTTCTAGGATTCAGATTTATTTAGACCTGTCATACATTTGATATATTTGATGTCTCAGAATTATCTTCCCTGGTAATATCAACGTTCCTATACGAACCCACCAAAGACACGTTGAAAGCACTTGTAAACCCTTTTGACGGTAATCTCCAGCTTTCGACACGCTATGGTATCATCTTCAGGAGCTAAAACGCAAATATGAAGCTAGCGACTAATTCAGAAAGGATTTAAATTTTCAGAAAACTTACTCGTTGCAATTGTAAAACCGAAAGGACGGACACATGCTGGGTTGCCACGTCCCTGGGTGGTCAACTGTTTTGTCAAATTCGGTTTTCAATTGAATTAGCCTGTTTGGCGGACATGATCTAACTGATCTCTCTGACATGTTATGTTCCTTTGTCAGGAGGATTATCGTACCTTGGATAGCGTTGAGTTATATTAACATGGCGGGCGTTTATGGCATGGTTGACTGGTGTGGTTCACCATCGTTGCCAGATATCCGATATTTTCGGTAGGACAGGAAATAAATTTATAGCGTCATCAAATGGGTGGCTGATTTGATCCAAATATTCCCTATGGATACTGGCTTACTTGCCATTAAAACGGAAAGGTAGGTTTCATATTATTCACATTGAAATGTATAATTTTCCACTCCTCCTATTTATTAGTATTACAAAGCACAGTACAATACTACGAGGTTTGTTTCATAAATAAGATTCTCACCGATCACAACAAGAATGAGGACATTTGACAGTTCTTGAAGGATACAATCGACGTCGAATGAAATTTCTAGGATTCAGATTTATTTAGATCTGTAATACATTTGATATATTTGATATCTCAGAATTATCTTCCCTGGTAATATTAACGTTCCTATACGAACCCACCAAAGACACGTTGAAAGCACTTGGTTGATGATTGTGCGGTCTTCTAAGTGTTACATTGTTGCCAAACGTGTAGCAGACGGCTTTACATCTGGTTTTGCTCTCTATGGCACACCGCCATCTTGTTTTCAAGCCGACCTTCTTGTGTACGCTGTATTCGTAGCGATCTACGATTATTCTTGGGTATCTCTTGCCAGATACTACGAAGATTCTGTCTGAAATGTGAGACTATATTCAACATTCAAATATCTCTAGCGTATTTTCAAATATCCAATGATTAGGATCATAGGAATGCAATATTTGTTTGTGGCTTTCATATACACAAAATGTCTTTATTCGGCGAACCCAAAATAGTTTCACTACTACTCTCTAACAATGTTGACACGTCTAGAAAGCAGCAGGTTCGTATTCCCAATTGTTTTCGATGGGTGGTTGTGTTGTCTTCTGAGAATTACAGTGTTGCCGGATGTATAACAAACAACTGGGCATTTCGTTTTTTTCTGATTGGCGCACATCCATCTGGTTCGGTTTTCGTTTTTGCTATGGACGTTGAACTCGTGCTGATCGACTAGAATTCTCGGGTACTTCCTGCCGCCTGGCAGCACATAGACTCGATCTGAAACAGTAGTAATTACTTTTTTATTTAATATAGTGATAAGCAAGCACTGGCTACCACGTCACTCAATTCAGTCCATAACAATTAATTATTAATTGGGAAATTGGCAAACTTTAAGTAAACCCTTTTGACGGTAATCTCCAGCTTTCGACACGCTATGGTATCATCTTCAGGAGCTAAAACACAAATATGAAGCTAGCAACTAATTCAGAAAGGATTTAAATTTTCAGAAAACTTATTCGTTGCAATTGTAAAACCGAAAGGACGGACACATGCTCGGTTGCCACGTACCTGGGTGGTCAACTGTTTTGTCAAATTCCGTTTTCAATTGAATCAGCCTGTTTGACGGACATGCTCTAATTGATCTCTCTGACATGTTATGTTCCTTTGTCGGGAGGATTATCGTACCTTGGCTAGCGTTGAGTTATGTTAACATGGCGGGCGTTTGTGGCACGGTTGACTGGTGTGGTTCACCATGGTTGCCAGATATCCGATATTTTCGGTAGGACAGGAAAGAAATTGATAGCGTCATCAAATGGGTGGCTAATTTGATCCAAATATTCACTATGGCTTGCTTGCCATTAAAAACGAAAAGGTATATTTGTTCCAGATATATTTTTTTTCTTAAATAAACAATTAATCTTAAACAAACTTTGGAATGAAGATATACTATTTTGCAATATGTAATAAAATTTATTTGAAAACAAAAATGTAAAACCTAGTGCAATAGCTTTTATTTAATGTTCTGAAAAAAATCATAAAAATAGCACATACATACTGCAATATCCATGTTGTACATATTACTTTAATTTGCGGTGAGTGCCTTCGAAATGCTACCGAGGCTTTGCGAGTGCATGCAGATCGTTTCTAAAGATCTTTTTTTAACTTATTTTTGTTTGGGGAGAAAAGAAATGTTTAGTCCCCTCTAGGGGATCATATATAATTTCATGGAAATAAAATCATTCGTTGTTTTATTTAATTTGCGTCAATATAACCCATATTAATAAAAAAAATTTGCAAACAAAAATTTACCGATCTTTAGGCATTCGAGAGTTCAAATCGCTACCACATAAAATAAAAACATTATAGAGTTCCTTCTTTGATGATTTTTCAACATTTTAATTACATAATTTCCAAAAAAAACTCGTTGGAACATGATGATTCATATTACTTTAATTATTCCCTGATTATTTTAACAACTTGAGAGGTAAGTAAATCCAAATCGGGAATTTTTTTCGGCGGATGGTTATGTTGTCTCCTAAGAATGGCGGTGTTGCCGGATGTGTAGCAAACGGCTGTACATCTCGTGTTGTTTTCTTTGGTGCATCTCCATCTTGTGCGATTTCCTTCCTTTTTGTGTACGTTGTACTCATGTTGGTCTATGAGTATTCGTGGATATTTTCTACCTTGCAGAATATAGATGAGTCCTGAAATATCCGAGTAATTAGAAACAAATCACTGATTAGCATTTTCTATCGGTACCGGAAAATACACAACCCGATTGGAAGCCAACCCAACTGGCGTATATAGAAGTGGAGTTCGAGAGTCCCATAGGTCTGTAAGAATCCACATTTTTTGAAAATTTCCAAATTCTTTTCAACATTTTAAAATTATTCACCAGATTTCCGAATTTTCCAATTATATTACAAATTTCAAGTTTTTTACAAATAAACAAACTCCTCTTGGAGATTTTCGTTCCAGATTTGAAAGCACCCTTACGTCAGTGGCGTATATGGAACTTGAGTTCGGGGATCCCATAGGTCTCTAAAAATCAAGGTTTTTTTTATTTTTACAAATTTTCAAATTCATTTTTTTCAAAACTCAAGTTTTTAAAAAAATTTCAAATTGCTCTTAGAAATTTCCACTTTAGCTTTTAAAACCACCCTTACGTCAGTGGCGTATATAGAACTTGAGTTAGGGGGCCCATAGGTCTCTAAAAATGTACATTTTTCAAAATTTCCAAATTTTCAGATTATTCACCAGAATTTTACAACTATTTTACAGTTTTTTGATTCATTTTTTAGGATTCAAGTTTTTTGAAAATTTTCAAATGCCTCTTAGAGATTTCCAATACAACTTGTGGAACCACCCTTACGTCAGTGGCGTATACAGAACTTAAGTTCGAGGGACCCATAGGTATCTAAAAATCAACATTTTTTCCAGGATTTCCAAATTGTTTTAAAAATTTTCAAACCTTAAAATTATTCACCAGATTTTCCAATTTTCCAATTAATTTACAAATATTTGAATTCATTTTTATAAAATTCAAGTTTCTAAAAAAAATCTAATTCTTAGAGATTTCCATTCCAGCTTTTGTTAAACCAGCCTTACGTTAGTAGCGGATATAGAATTTGAGTTCGGGGGGGGTTCGGGTCTCTGAAAATCAAAAATTCCCAAATTCTTTCCAACATTTTCAAATCTTAAAATTATTCACCAGATTTCGAATTTTCCAATTATTTTACAAATTTTTGAATCAATTTTTTTTAACATTCATTTTCTTATAAATTTTGAAATTCCTCTTAGTGATTTCCATTCCAGCTTTTAAAACCACCGTCAGTGGCCTATATTACACTTGAGTTCGGGGGCCCATAGTCTCTAAAAACCAACATTTTTTTAAAATTTCCATTCTTTTCAAATTTTCACATTATTCAACAGATTTCATTCAATATTTTTTTTAAATTCAAGTTTATTTAAAAATTATCAAATTCCTCTCGGAGATTTCCATTCCAGCTATTGAAACCACCCTTACGTCAGTATCGCATATAAAACTTTACTGATCTTTAGAAATCAATATTTCAAAATTTGCAAATCTTTTACTAATTTTCAAATTATTTACCAGATTTCCGAATTTTCCAATTACTTTACAATTTATAAATTCATTTTTTTTCAAAATTCAAGTTTTCTAAAAATCAACATTTTTTAGAAAATTTACATATTTTTTTCAAAATATCCAATTTCTTTTCAAAATTTTCAAATGATTCTCCAGAAATCCGAGTTTCCCAATTATTTAACAAATTTTTGAATCCAATTTATTTCATAATTCAAGTTTTTTTAAATTTTCCAAATTCCTCATATAGATATACTAAATCCGAACACCCAGTTTAAATGGTTTTATTTTAATAAAAGTTGGTGAACCGCAATAAAGAATCAACGTTGGCGGATTTTGGTTCTTGACATCCTTTACGATCGGTTACGATGCCTAGAGTACGGAGACCTGTACGATTTCGTCAACTTAGTGAGTTTGATAGGGGCCGTATAGTGGGACTTCGGGAAGCTGGACTTTCTTTTCGGGCAATTGCAGTTAGAGTGCAAAGAAGTGTAGACACTGTGGTTAGGTGTTGTCAGGCATGGCTTCGAGAAGGCCGTACGCAAAGAGCAAGTGGCACTGGACGCCGCCGTAGAACAACAGACCGTGAAGATCGCCGCCTAAGATTATTGGCCTTAAGGGACCGTTTCTCCACTACCAGGTCCATTGCTAATGAATGGTTTGCAGAACACGGAAGACCTATTGGCATGCGAAGTGTTTACCGACGAATGAGAAGTTTTGGCTTGTTTTCATACCGGCCACACTGGGTCCTCCCTTTAGCTCGAGAACACCGACGTAATCACCTTGAGTGGTGTAGACAATGGTCACTCTGGGATCAGGAATGTCTTTAGTGACGAGTCTCGATTTTGTTTAGGCATGCACGATGGTCGTGCCAGGGTTAGAAGGCGACGTGGTGAAAGGAGGAAGCCACAGTTTTTTGTTGAAAGACATGTTCATCACACTGTTGGAGTTATGGTTTGGGGTGCTATAGCTTATGGTTCCAGGTCACCTTTAATATTCATCAGAGGTAACATGAACGCGCAGCGTTATATCCACGAAGTTCTAGAACCAAATCTTTTACCCTATCTTGACACCCTGGCAGATCCAACTTTCCAACAAGATAATGCCCGACCACATGTTGCAAGAGTCACAATAGACTTCTTTCAACATAATGATGTCACATTGTTACCATGGCCACCAAGATCTCCCGACTTATCCCCAATTGAGCACGTGTGGGATATGATGGGTAGGAGATTGCTCAATTTGCAACGTCCTCCTCAAACTCTAGAAGCACTTCGAGAGGAGTTGGTGGTTGCCTGGAATGAGATACCACAGGAGGACATTGACCACCTGATCAGAAGCATACCTAGGCGCGTTGGAGAATGCGTAGCACATCAGGGTGCATCCACACATTATTAAAGGTCAACGGGCTTTAAAGCAGTGTAATCATCTTGAAATTTTTATCATTTACTTATTATGCTTCATTAACTACTTATACAAAATGTTATTAAAATAAAACCATTTAAACTGGGTGTTCGGATTTATATGTCACTTAGTATATTTCTATTCCAGTCTTTGGAACCACCCTGAGACTTTCTGTAAGATGATTGGTTGCTGAAATATCGATGATCTAAACCAAGAAGCTACTTTTTTTTAAAAATGCGATATCTCTGCAAGAAATGGTGGCATCCATATTTTGAAAAAGAAAAATAAAAAGTACGTTTTATCTATTCACCTAAATAAATAAGCAAAAAAAAGTTTTTCATCATGCTGTTTCCTAGAATTGTGAGGAACCTGTATCTTCAAAAATTGTTTGACTACAAGATCCAAAAACTAGACATTGCACCAATTGACAAAAACACTGAAAATTTAAAAATTTTATTTTATAAAATAATGAAAATACAGCAGACGCTCGATAAAGTAACCACGAGATAATGAAAACTTGCGCTAATGTAAACACAAACTTCGTTCTATAGGAT